ACAAAGCCAATTACTATAATGAAATGTGCAAAGACCTGGAGTCTGAAAACCAAAAAGGAAGAACACGCTCAGCATTTCTCAAACTGAAAGAACTGGTTAGCCTTAGGCGCTATATAATGAGAAATTGCCCTAACTGGATTAAGCCTGGGTATGCAAAAAGATTTAAAGCCTTTTTGTTCACCTCCAGGCAGCGGTGGGAATGGAGTATAAGACAATGGATGTTGGAGGTGGCTAGGAGTTGCAGAGTAGAGTAAGGGAAAAAAAATTAATTATATATATTCATATACTTTAATCAGAAAATACAAAATAATTAGAGAATACAAACTAAACAGAATTAAGTGATATGGAAAAGTGCTAAAGAACTCAAAAATAACGACATTACTGTGGGAAAGAATTCATAAAGAATCCATGCTGATAAGAGACTTAACTCTTGCAGACATGCAAATACATATGTGAGATCATAATTACATCTTAAATTTGGCAAACTCTGGTTTTAAAATGTTTTTACCTTGCGATTAGTTCTTTTCTTAGTACTTCACAATCTTCTCCAATTAAATTCATTGCTTCCTCAAATTACCATATTGAGTTTTCTCAGAATTCTTAGGAACTATAACCTGTCAACTCTTTATGCTCTTTCACAGGAATTTAAGATAATGTTTTATGAATTTAAGTATGATAGGTTTTTTACCTGTTACTTCTAACTTTTAGATCAGTTTATTAAATTCATTGGAGAAATCAAAGATAGCAAATTCCATGTAAGCCTTTGAGAACAATTTTGAAATAATTTTGAGGAGAATTTTTCCAGCATAATCTTAATTTTTGCAGCACTGAAATTCCCTCTATGTGAAACAGCTCCTTTATATTCAGATTGCATCCTTACCCTCATCATCATCATCAAAGCAACAAAAGTCCAAGCCCAACAAAAAGTCAAAGCTTAAGCAACTGACCAATTTATAGTTTAATTTCTCTAACTATGGTAACATGGTGGTCTTTAGAATTGTTTGGAGACTAGAAGGGTAACTAATATTTATTGATCACCTACTAAGTGCTGAATATAGTATCCCATTGATCCTCTCCCAAAAAGTTGGATAGATCCTCTGGTAGCAGGAATAGATCCTATGTTTTTGGTTAACTCTGAAAACACTTCCCCCATGGAAATATTGTTCCCCTTGGTGGGTAAGATCTACCAAAGCTACACTCTCATGCCCCAGGTACTGTCTACTATGCAGGGTTGTAATGAAGATCAAAGAAAACAAGCATACTCAATATCAAAATTAAATAATTATTCCTTTTACCCAGTTGTACTTTTCCCCCTCAAGGTTGGGCAATCTACTTCCATAGCGATATGCCTTGGAAACCCAAGGAGATTCATAAGGTTTTCATTGACAAATTTTTTGGAGTAGATCATCAGGCCTCTCCTACTAGTCTGTCTTAGTTGGAAGCTCCACTGAAACCTATCCACCATGGATGACCCTGCTTGTACTTGAAATATCAGTGGCATGTCTTCCAGTATCAATGCACAAGCCACCACAATACAACAAACTGACAGACGAGTGGTGGTGGTGGCAGATAGCAAACCAAACCAAACCCACTGCCAATGAGTTAATTCTGACTCATGACAACCCCCATTGGGTTTTGAAGGCTGTAAATCTTTATGGAAGTAAATTGCCTAATCTTCCTCTGGTAGAGCAGCTGGTGGGTTTGAACCTTGGAACTTCTGGTTCAAAGCTGAATGCCTGGCAGATACTAGGCACTCAATAAATACTTATTGAATGAATGACTATTGCTCCC